TGGAATCGCCTAAAGCCATGTGGCTTGATGTTTGCTACGTGCATGGATCCAAAGCAGCCTTCTCTAATCTGTTGTCTTCCAGATGCACCATGCTATACATTCTTTCCTATTGAGGGATCTGAAGCCTTAAGATTTGTTTTGGATTGTTAGTTTTCCTGGGGCCTCTTCTGATCATTATTGTTTTAGTTAAAACTGGTGACAATTTGGGGTCAATAATTACAGCACACAAAAACTAGTATAATTTTTGCAATCATCCTTTTTTCTTAAGAAAAAAAAAGAATGAAAAATCCAATCCCCTCCAATTTGTATTATTGCTTCTCTTGATACCATTCTCAAGCACCAAAAATCTCTAACATTGAGTTACACCAGGCTTGCTCACCTTGCCCCATGGTTAATTTGATCCCATCTTTCTAAGGGCTAGCAAGTTATTCCAACAGACTTTTGATGCTCTTGCTTCTTTTCCTCTTCCTCTCTTTTAGCCCTATAAGCTATGCTAGTGTCTAGTTATCTGGGTGTAATGATTTATGAGGAATTACTCATATGTAAGGATCTCTTAGCATATGCAGGCCAACTCTGATGGATTGCTAAGTTTGAGGATTCAGCCCCCTGGAATACTTGATGGAAGAATCAGAGAAGGAAGGTGGAAAAAGTCCACATTACCCACCAGCCAAATATGGTTGGTGAAATTGACAGAACTTGGTGAGATGAACAAACTGATTTCTTAGATTAAAGAAAGGATTACAATTATTGGTGAAAGGAAACCTTTTATGGACTTTTTCCATACAAATGAAAAAAAATGAACTTGTGTTATTTGGTTTTGAAATTGGACAGGATAGACTATAGAAAGAAGAGAGTAATGATATAATTTGAGAGAGAGAGAGAGAGAGAGAGAGAGAGAGAGAGAGAGAGAGAGAGATATTAAAGTATAATTGTGCATTATAACTGCAATGAATAATATTGAAAGTCACTTCTTTATATCTTTGTATTTTTTCTTTTTTTAATTTCCTTCTACTTTTTGTTGTTGCACTTTTAGTTCTTCCTTTCATTTTTCTACTCATTTTCTCTGTTCTATTTTAGTTTATATTCTTTTTTTATTTTCTTTTTTTATATATTTTTTTCTCTTAAAATTTTCCATAACAATTATAGAATTGATAATTTCCCCCTTTATTGCCTTCTGTATGTGTTGGGATTACATTCAATAATCCACCATCAGCGATGAATGACTAGCTATTTATGGGAATAGTGGTCCCATGGGGAAGGCTGGTAGATGGAGCTACTAAGTAATCTTTAGGAACAGCTCATGATGTGTTACACAACTTTAGGAATGGCTCATGTCCAGGATCTACAACTTTACTGAATCTTGAGCACAACAGGTTTTTTTCCCTGTTATGTTCCAGGCTTGTCACTTGCAAATCATTTGTCACAGGGCTTTTAAACCTTTCTTGTCTCTGCTTTTCGAAAGCTTTAGATCTATTTATATGCACATAGCCTTATATTGAGGAAAGAAGTAGAATAGAATAGAATAGAATAGAATAGAATAGAATAGAATAGAATAGAATAACAGAGCTGGAAAGGACCTTGGAGATCTTCTAGTCCAACCCGCTGTTTAGGCAGGAAACCCTACACCACTTCAGACAAATGGTTATCCAATCTCTTCTTAAAAACCTCCAGTGTTGGAGCATTCACAACTTCTGGAGGCCAGTTGTTTCCACTGGTTTATTGTTCTGTGAGGAAATTTATCCTTAGTTCTAGGTTGCTTCTCTCCTTGATTAGTTTCCACCCATTGCTTCTTGTCCTGCCCTCAGGTGCTTGGAGAATAGCTTGATTCCCTCTTCTTTGTGGCAGCCCCTGGTAAATGAAATCTTCTTAGGCTTTAACAACTAAACACTACAATGAACCTCAATCTTTTATTACTTTTCAGCCAAATGCCAAGGTAAGAGGTTCTTTTCTTTTGATTCAGCCATTCGGTCCCAATTACTATTCCACAATTGCTCCACATTTGTGTTAAAACTAGCAGCTCTCTGAAGCAGTTTTTTTTAAAAAATTGCTCAGTTTCATACCTCTTCAGCCCTGTATCTTTTCAGCAAATTTCTAATGTTATATTCTCCAGTCTCTTTTCCCCACTCACAGCAGATGGCTGCAGGGCCTTCAGTTTTACGTTGACCTGAATTTCAGAGTTCTCCCAGTATGATGGCATTTGTTATCTTAGTTTGATTTTCCTGAAGCTCTGCAATTCTATGTGACATGATAAAATATTCTGAAAAAAAGTGACTTACAACTGGTCCTTGCACTTACAACCGCTGTAGCATCCCCACAGTTACATGATCAAAATTTGGCTGCTAGGCAACTGGCATGTATGATGGTTGCAACATCCTGGGGTCATGTGATTGATATTAGCGACCTCCCTTGTTGCTTCTGATAAGGAAAGTTAATGGGGAAATCCAGATTCGCTTAACAACATGATTCACTTAATACTGATTTGCTTACAACCATGGCTAAAATGGTCCTAAAATAGGGTGCGACTCGCTTAATAATTCTCTTACATTGCAACAAAAATTCCACTTCCACTTCCGTAATCCTTCCAAGGCAAGGATTACCAATATTCATGTTCTCTTTCTTTTTTCAGACATGTATTTCTCAATGACCAGCTAAAAAGCAAGCTTTTCTGTTCTTTCTAGCATAAAATCATGTTGTACTTCCCAAATTTTGCTCATTGTTATTCCTTGTATCTTTTCAGTCATAATTCTGTCCCCTCTCAAAAAATCTCCCCCCCCTCCAAATAATCAATTTACATTTGCTGTCCTTTCTCGTGTATAGGGACAACAGTTTTCTACTCAAGCACAGACTTTATACACAGTAAAAAAGTTGCAAAGTCATTCTATAAGCAAACCATTTTCAGATTTTAATGCTTTTTCAGTGACATTTCTACACCTACCTTTCCATTTTTCAACATTCTGACAGCATTAATTCCTTTTTCATCTATTTTTCTTTGGAACATTAATATCTATAGCATTCCCTTCCATACTTTTTGATATCTTTCTCATACATATCTCTGAAATCGAACTTCCAGCATTCTGTCACTTCCTGTTTCAATCCAAATAATTATATAACTTTGATCTTAGTTCCTTTCTTCTGGAGGTTCTTTGTTTAATTACCTTCATTCATTTCCAGAAATGTTACACATTTTAATCAAAACCATGTAGCGTTTTCTCGTTTATTCTTCTCTGTTCCTTGTTCTTAATCACATTTTGCAATTCTATTTTTCGCTGCACACATTTTGTAATAGCTTTCTCTCGTCATTTTTGTAGCACTTAACAAATTCTTTTCTCAGGCACATTTTATGTCTTCTTTCCATCAAAGTCCTATTCATCTGCCTTCATACAGTTCTCTGGCATGTTGTAGCCTGTTTATTTTCTAGGCAGTTTCCAGAGTTATTTTCATTGCAGGAGCAATAAAACTAACTTCATTTGTTAGAGTTGTTATATAGCAGTGACCAGAGAATGGTATAATTGCTTGGAGAAACATTTTCCACGCAAGGCAATGTGTGGATTTGCAGACAGAGAGTGAAAGGATAGATTCAATGATAGCTGGCACTTCAGGGAGTACATATTCCATGATTCCCTTCCCAATATATTCTATAAATCCACTTCTATCAGGATTTTCTCTCATGCAAAAACTTCATTTTTTCTCAATCTTTTATCTTTCATTTCCTCCCCAGCATTTTCTTTCTCACATACCAATACTATATCCTGGATCATTTCCCAAATATACATGCCCTATTCTGTCAGATATTCACCTTATTCTCTCACTCTCTCGCACATATCTCATTTTTCACTCTTTCTTTCCAGCACCAACACTCCACATAGACACACCTACTGAAATTAGGCTTTGAAACAGCCTAATAATTAAAAGCAGCCTCTTGAAATGCCTCAATACATCTGCAGATGGGAAGGCAATTTTTCAAAAGGGATGCTGTATTACAGAAGGTACAAGCAGACCATCCATCCCAAACCACAGTTAAACTTTAAAACAAACCTCTGTTCTTACAAACAAGATTTGTAGAAACAAAATCTAGATGGGTTCTCCAGTTCATTTTTTTCTCTTGGCTGAAGCACAACAAATTGTGTTGCAACAGGATAAAATGGAGTCTTCTCTGATTCACACTTCAATCTTGTTGGCTGTTTCATGTCCATGTAGGTTTTTCTTGGCAATAATATGGAAATGGTTTGTCACTACTTTTTTTCACAATGGTTTTCAATTCCCAATGTTGTTTAGTATACCATGATGGTCTCCCTTTCAACTACTAATCAAGCCTTCCTTTGAAGCACAACCAAAACTCAGCTAGACATCCTTGTCTGAACTAAGTGTGCAAACAGAATTTATCTATCTATATCTATCTATCTGACTGTCTATCTATATAGTTTGAATATCTATCTATCTATCTATCTATCTATCTATCTATCTATCTATCTAT